TTATTAAAATCAAAAGTTGTCTACTAATATTTAATGGACCTGAGCTACAGTGACATGATTTAATAATGCACATGTATTTTTATTAAGTAATGTTAACAAAGATTAATGAACACTGTAACAAATGTGTTGCTCATTCTAGTTGATATTAATGAATTAACTAACACTGACTAATCGGGCCCGTATTGTAAAGTGTTAATGATTATTTTAATATATTAATAGCAGTTTATTAATTTAAATAAAGTCAACCTGGAACTTTGCTGAGGCCCCCTAGTGGCCCCCGACGTCATGGTTGAGATCCCAGGTCACTCCATAAAATAATTTTATGAGATTGTTTTGCTCATTTGCTTGTCTGTTCATTTGTTTGTCTTCCACTGAAAATATGTGGGAAATCTTCACCAGACTGATAGCATTCAATAACTGGTGGGAGACTTTAGAAAAGTATGCTGTTAGTATATTACTCAACTGCAAACAGATCTTGTCTAATGCTTGGTGGTTTCCCAATGCCAACCACTTTTAAGCCTCAAACCAAGACTGCATGTCTGGTTTAGCCTCAGATTGGATGTTCAGCTGCTGACTGCTGATGTGGGCAAGAAGTGACACATTCCTTCCCTCCTCATCACTGTCAGAGGAATAGCTTGAAGGATAAAATGAAACCACATTAAAAGTGAAACTTCCTACAAAAGACCTTAGTTGCTTTGAAACAGCTATACTTTCTATTCTATTGTTCTGTATTTCTCCACACTTAAGCTCTATACTTCTTTACTGTGGTAGAAGTGCCTTGAAAGAATCCACTCCGCAATGGCACATAGATGCATACCGATGCATGTTGAAAAGGGCCTGCAGCTGATTGCTTCAATCACAAAAATGTGCATACATCCCCAAGGATCGTGATTTTGTGGCTATAATCTTATTAAGATCCCAGTTCTTGTTTTTTGTTGGTTGTAATATTGTACCATGTGGTGAGTTGCCAAATTTGAATACTGTAGTTACAGCAAAGTTGAAAACCTTTCCCACACAAGCAGATGCATTATATTTAGACACTGTGTTTAGAATGTAAGGTTTGTTCATAGTGCCTTTTGCTTTCAAGAAATACAGTTTTCCTCATCTCTGTGCCCATCAGTGACCAATTGACAACACACTTCACCCTAGTGAAAAATAAACATACTAAAATGTATTTGAAATACATTTATTTCATGCTTAGTATACTACGAATACATTTACATATTTATGTACTTAATAAAAAAAATACAGTTTTTTTATTTTTTAACTGCAGTTGTACTTTTAGTATACTAAACTGTATACGTAAAGTCTGCTAATTTTGTACTTAATGCACTTTATTTGTACGGAAGTAGTGCTGAAGTCCAACTAAAGATATACTGAAGTATATTTGATTGTGCTAAAGTGGAACTATTGCAAATATACTTTAGGTACACTTTAAATATCTTGCATTTAAAGACCGATATTATTCAAAGATCATACAGTCCTCATCAATAGTGATGTTAAAACACATTTTAGGCTTAATATTAAGAAATGTGCATTGTGCACAAGTAGTACTCCAAACAAAGTTTAATTATAATTTTTATTTCAGTAAGTCTAGAGCGATGTAATAGATTTGAACTATACTTAGTATGAAATAAATGTATTTGAAATATATTACTTTTTTTACTAGGGCACTTTTTATTGTTATAATGTATTTTATTTGTATTTTCTGGCATATAGGAATATTGACTTCACAGCTTGAACATCGCACTAGATAATTTAGAGGTTTGAGGCATACAGTATGTGAGCTCACCTAGTTCCTTATCTTCCTTTAAGCTATATGGAATAACTTTTTAACTAACAGAGTAACATCTGCAAACATCAATAAAAAAGGCTTGCGTTCAGCTGTCCAGTCACATAATAGATCACCATTATAGAGATATAATAAGTTTAAGGGGTTTTTGCCTCTACAGGACAAGTGAGAGGGGACCAGAATTGGTATGTGAAACATATCATAACTCCTTAGGCTCTTCATATTATGTTAACTAACCACTGTGCCACAGCTCTAACAATATATATTTTTAATGCTGCTAATAATTATTTCTTAGTAATAGCAGCTTTAACTGGCCTCAGAGCAAGCACGGTCATGTGTATGCTTATCTTCAGTCTTGTTTTATATGGGAATACTTCATAATGGGGGCCTGATTGAGTGGTTATATTTGGCCAGTCTTCACCCTTGAAATGCAGTCACAGCCGGGCTCTTCTCTGGAAACACCCATATGCATCAGTCTTATATTGAAGGGTTTTTAGCTCTTTGAGCCCCAATATGTGTGTGTGCTGCATTTGAGGGGCCAATATCAAATGAACTTTCTTTGGTCTGTTGAGTCAAAGAGGAGTAAGTTGCCAAATCACACTTCACACAATCACACTTTCTGCTGTCAATACTTGTTCCTTACCTGCCCTTTTATAAGCAATGCCTTGAATAATTCTATCAATAAACTGCTCTGTACTCTATGTAAAAAGACAGTTTAAATGCTGTATTGTGTCGCCCCCGTTTGGTCAGCAGTGAGTATTACTAGTGGTTATGACAATGAAGTCAAGTCATTTTACTACTCTTACTATGCTATTCTTTGACATTTCAAATTTGTTCTACTACAACGCACACAAATAAATACTACAGATTATATATAACTTTATTTTATTTCTGTATATATTTTCTATTTTTTCTAACACTCAAATTGAATGACTGAAATTTCTTCAAAGGTGGGTAAAAAGTGCACGAGTAGAGTTTTTTGTGTTTATTTGCATTCCCTCATGTACAGTCACGGACATCCTCATCCTGTAAATTAAAATGAAAAAAAAAAAAAAAACACACACTTACATGT